TAACTTTTTAGTTGTGACAAAGATTGAATCCAGCAGTTCATAGGCTAGCAACTACCCAGACAGCCTTTTACTTCCTTCTGATAGATCACGAATTCAGACACTTAGAACTTAAAACTACTGCTGAACGCTGCCAGAGAAACGTAACTTTAGTTTCTCAGGAAGCCTAAAGACAGCATGTTCAGTTGGGCTACATCTATAAAAACAAGAGCAAAAAGCACCAAAGAGATTAGACTACATCGCCAATGCCAGCAGTTATCAGGACGTTTTATATTCACAGCACAAGAAAAGTGAAGGTTGCCATGTTAACTTTTTAGTTGTTAGAAGAGGTTGAACACACTCACCCTGCTTTCTTCATCCTTGGCCATGCTAAACAATACCATAAGAGCTTTACTTCTTAAAAGTGATCCAATAACCTTCGAAGAATTCCTCAGCAGCTTGAGAATAAGAACAACAATGCCTTCATTTCTGACCCTGTATCTGCTCATAGGATGCTCTTCAGAAATCTTATATATGCTATCCAGTGACCTGTCAATTGAGTCCATCGATGAAGAATCCTCACTGAGATACTCAACAGCTCTCTTAATCTGAACCTCAATATTCCGGTTGACCCACTCATCAATAGCACCAGCTAATCCAATGTTAGGCTTGAGCTCCAATGACTTTAGCACCACCCCAGTAACAGGACAAGTCGGCTCACGACCATCTTCTAAACATCTCTCAAACCAATAATTAATAGCAGTTTTCTCATATGTCTGAGCCGATTCCAACACAACAGGACTCTTCATTATCTCCTTGGTTAAGGGACAAATAAAGTTCTTAAAAGGCAATAATTGAGCTCCTTCCTCTTCAGAATTGAAATCGAACTTCTGGGTTAGAATATCCGGCTGAATTGCCCAATTTTCGACAATCTTCGCTAATGATGTCAAGATACGCCTATCTGATATAGAAGATGAGTTGCCTATATCATTCCTAAGAAGCTTAACCTGATCAGCTAATGCCAAGTGGTTATTAGAGTCTATCCCCAAAGCTCTAGCTAAATCCATTACCATTGCACTCTGCACTGCTTTGCTGCATTGCCTTCCTTGCCCTTCCTTTTTCAAAGTGCAATAAACTCTTTCTTCATTCTCTGTCACCTACATATCACAGGCCAACAGCTAGCGCACATTAAAACACCCCTCATTGACACAGAGATGGACGCACATAATATCAAAACTCTAAAATGCTACTGCAAGAGCGGAAAGAGACAGGCCATAAGCACAGATAAAAAAGCGCGCACACTACTATAACAAAACGAAAAATGGGAAAACACATATCCGAACAGAAACGCAGACGCACACCCCAGTAAAAAACATGGATTAACACCCAAACAACATTATAATAACTAAAACGATAGCAATAATACTAACGACGACTTAGAACAATTGACAGAAAAATGGAAAAGACCGGTCCAGAGCACACGTAAAACACACACATGCACAAAGGAAACTTAAACCGACTTTTTTTCTTCAGAAACTTAAGAAGAGTGAACAGGAAAGTGGCCAAAAGCACATACTATAAAAACACGATTTTGATGTCATAAAATATACAATAATAAGGTGGAGATTAAAAAGAAAATTTACTCTGAAGTGAGCTTGTTTCATATCTCTAGAAAGATCAGCGATTTTGTTTTGGAGATCGGGAATGCCGTCGTCTTGCACGGCGGAGCCGAGGAGCGCTAACCACGCGGCAATGGCTAACGTGCGCTCGTGGAGAGAGGCGCAGAGCTCCAGACAGTTAATGAGCACAAAGATCTTGCTCTTGTGTTTGTACACAGCTAAAGTCTCAGCGACTTGAGTCAAATCAACGGTGATACCTTTGAGAGCAGTCAGAACGGAAGGTGGGAGGTTCTCTGGCACCGTCGACCGGAGAAGCTGGTTGACTAGGAAGTGTATCCTCTTGGCGTATCCGGAGAAGCGTCTAGCGTTTTCCCAAGCGTACTGGCGGTCGTCGGAGACGGAGACATCGGACAATGCTCGGTGGATTGCCTCCACGGCGGCGTGTGAGGAGGACGATGAGGTCATTTCCATTTCCGGGGTGCGTTAGACGAGGAGGGTCAAAGTAGGAAGTCAGGCATGACTGACTATGTGTGTTTTGGAGCAGTATTAGTAGTAAAAATTGTTGGCCGTTTGAGTGAGGGTGAGCGGTGATTGTGAAGCTCTGTAATTTTCCTCAGTTTGATTGCAATGCTGGGTGGGATGGGAAGAAGAAGAAAGAGTCAAAGGTTGACTAGGGGGACGACCTTGACACGCAGATAAGTATTAAGTAGTGCTGCTTTGCCTGCTGCCCCTCTGGCCCCCAATTGAATTATATCAAGGGATAATTGCAGAAACCTCCCCTGAGGTTTCTGACATTTGCACTGATCTCCCCTGTGGTTTGAAAAATTACACTAACCTCCCCTGAGGTTACTAATCCTTTGCAAATCCAGTCCAAACGATTAAAATATTGTTTTAGGGAGTGAAATTAAAAGTTTTTACCAAATTTGTCCTTTGTATTACATGTCCAATGAATGACAAAGTACTACAAATTAATTAACAATTAATAAATTTTAAGGAGTATAGTTTATAAACAAATACGCATTACCTATTTAAAGTATCGGCTCTTTATGGGCATTTTACTTTCAAACATTTAATTTAATACAAATATTTAAGCTCAAATACAGATTTGTATTTACTTTCAAATATTTAATTTTTATTAAATACAAAAACTACCAATCTTTGTTCCCGTAAAAATATTAATATAACACTTTTTCAATTTTAATTACAAACATTTATGTATTTAACATAAATTAAATGATTCAGAATAAAATACCCATAAAGAGCCAATACTTTACTCATGTAATGGATGATAGCCATAAAGAATTAATACTTTATGGGTCATTTCTTTTTTTAAAAAAATATTTAATTTATATTAAATAAATAACCTACCGATTTCTTTTTTGCAAGAATATTACTGTAACACTTTTTTGAATTTTACTTACAAACATTGATATGTTTATCATAAATTAAATATTTGAAAGTAAAATACCCGTAAAAAACCGGTAATTTAAATGAGTAATGCATGTTTGCCCATAAAGAACCGGTAACTATTTAAAGTACCGGTTCTTTACGGGTATTTTATTTTCAAACATTTAATTTAATACAAATATTTACGCTCAAATACATTTTTGTATTTACTTTCAAATATTTAATTTTTGTTAAATACAAAACCTACCAATCTCTCTTCCGTAAAAATATTAATATAACACTTTTTCAATTTTAGTTACAAATATTTATGTATTTAACATAAATTAAATGATTCATAATAAAATACACATAAAAAATGAATACTTTACTTATGTAATGGATGAAAATCATAAAAAATTAATACTTTATGGGCCATTTCTTTTTTTTAAAAAATATTTAATTTATATTAAATAAATAACCTACCGATTTCCTTTTTGCAAGAATATTACTGTAACACTTTTTGAATTTTACTTACTAATATTGATATATTTATCATAAATTAAATGTTTGAAAGTAAAATACCCGTAAAGAGCCGGTACTTTAAATAGGTAATGCGTATTTGCCTATAAATTATACTCCTTAGAGTTTATTAATTGTTAATTGATTTGTAGTACTTTGTCGTTCATTGGACATGTAGTACAAAGGAAAAATTTGGTAAAAACTTTTAATTTCACTCCCTAAAATAATATTTTAATAGTTTGGACTGAATTTGCAAAGGATTAGTAATCTCAGGGGAGGTTAGTGTAATTGTTCAAACCACATGGGAGGTCAGTGTAAATGTCAGAAACCTTAGGGGAGGTTTCTGTAATTATCCCTTATATCAATTAATAGACGGTATTAATAACTTGATATGAAATTCAAGGAACCCTTTCCTTCAAAAAAAAAATAAAAATTCAAGGAACCCAGCACCCTAAGAAAAGAAAATAATTTCTTGTACAAAGTAATTCGTCCATATTGGAATATGGATTAGAAATTCCATAATCAGGTTTACTACCCAATTGATCCAACATGGCGAATAGTAGTAGTAGAGTGTTTCATTTCATAACCCCTCTCTTCTCACGTTCCAAGAGAGAGTTGACCGTGCAGTTCCCCGCTGGTTACGTTACAATCTCTGGTGCTTATTAGTACTACCCATAGTTGTCAAAATCGCGATCCGGATCGTAGGATCGTACGATCCTACGATCCGGATAACCAAAATCGATCCGGATCGTATGCAGAGTCGCAAATCATATTAATTTTTTGCAGGATCGCATAGAATCGTAGCAGGATCGTGCAGGATCGTTCAGGATCGTTCAGGATCGTATAGGATCGTAGGATCGTAGGATCGTACGATCCTACAATTTTTTTGTAAATTTGTGAAATACGAAGCTCCATTTTGCAAATAAATGAAAATATTTGTGGTATATTTGTAATTTATCAAAGAATTGCAACCTTTAATTGCAATTAAGAGCTTTTGGTAGGATCTTACGATTCTACGATCCGATCCTACGATCCGATCCTGTGAAACTAAAATCGATCCTACGTAGGATCCCGATTTTACAAACCTTGGTACTACCACCACCATGTGTTTTGACACCTTCAATTGGGATGGTTTTCTGTTTTGACACCGTCAATGATTTTTTATTTTTTATTTTTCGGGCGCATCCCTTCCGCGTCTTTGCACTGACCCCAACACAGCCTTTCATTGGCTCTGACGGTTCCCTGCCCCACTCCTAAGACCTTTTGTAAAGTACTCTTATCACATTCCTTCTTCTCTTTTGGGAAGAATATGCGGTTTCTTTACAGTGTAGTTCCCAAAACGATTGCTTCCATGGAAAATTTTTAAAAGATGGCAGGCAACGTGCAAATGTTTCATGTGTGGCGCGTCCGTTGCTTCTAATAAATGCAATTCTGTTTTACAGCGTAATTCCATCTTTTTGGGAACAATGGGGTTAAGAATCGTTTAGTCCAGCAGCCGTGTGAGCACAAGGTGGCTTTTGAATTACTTAAATCCAATTGAACAAACAAGAAGGGAAGCAACTATACCAATCACAGAAGGTCGCTTGCTTAATCAAGCAACCAATTACAAGTAAATTTGTTTGTTTTTTTTCCTTCTTTTTTTTTTGGCAAAATACAAGGGCTTTATTCCTTCTGCTGTTGCGAAATCATTTCTGCAAAACCATTCATTTGTCCAGCGAATACCTGTTCCTGCAACCAAAAACATATGATCTCCTTTCAAGTGCATAGCTTGATTCCGCTATAGCTGAATGAAATATTTTATTGTATACAAACCTAAAGCTTGACAATAATATCTAAAAGTGCTCCTCCACGTCTCATTTTCTCATACAGTGTCGTAGTATTTTTGTTCCGATTTTTGCCTTGAATTTTGTATTCTTAAATACTTGCAAAATCATATTACTTGATTCAGAAGTATCAATTCCATGATATATTTCGCTGCTACATACACGAGGATGTATCTAATGCGAGAGAGCGCAATCTTCTGGTTACCTTCATATACGACTTATATCACGGCCAAATACAAGGGTCGTTAACCAGTTGATTGCTACGTAGAATCTGTTCCTCCAGCTTATGACACGCGTAAGATAAGCAGACCGCCAGACAAACCAGCTTCCAAATCCAGCCACAGATAATCCTCTTGCCTCCTGTACAAGGCCTCAAGAAACTGAGCCACCCACCAGAAGCAGTTTAACAGCCACAACAAAGAAATACACATACAGATACATTGGGTCATTAACTAACCTTGCTCTGCCTGAGGTCCACAAGGGCCTTGTATCTACCAATGGTCGCCATGCTCCCCAAATGCCTATAGACAAATGGAGACCCAAGATCGATCTCCATTGCAGCATTGGCACGTCCACCACCAGCTTTACCAATCCTGTTCAGTTCTTGTGCTAGATATTTTCCCTGCCGCTCAGCAACCTGGCCAATGTATACATTGCAGAAACAAATTACTTGCGATAGTAAAAGTACGTCAAATTGATGTAGTGCCAGCCGGTCCACCAATATGCAGCCACAAATCTTCAACCACACAGTGCAACACAAGAACTAGAGATTTGCTACATGCAAATCTGTTGTACTTGCTAAAAATTCATGTCATGATAGTCAAGAATTGGCAGTATTGATCAACCTTAGCAAGGAACCCAGAAGAGGGCACCCTACCTCGTAAAACTTATTACCACTGTTGGAACAAACATTATGCAATCAACAGTTAAGGATTTGTTACATTGTCCAAAAACTGAACAACTGGAAAAAAATGTAACCTGGATATATATATATATATATATATATATATATATATATATATAACAATAACAACAAAAAAACAGCAATCTCCTCATTGAACCAAACCTTTGCTAATTCACAAGTTCTCTTTCAAAATTCTTTACTCACATTCTGTTAGCCTTTTGTTTTTCATTCAACAATCTGTCGAGAAAAGAGCAGAAACTAAGCTTGAAAAAAAGAATATTGGAATTATTGAAGCACGAGGAAGGTAGTCTGGGATATGGTTTTGGGTTTGGAAAAGTAGACAGATCCAGTACACCTTTCTATGGGGAAATGCAAAGCCAGAACGGATCATATCCCAAGCATGACGAAGTCTAGCTTAGGAGTTCCATAATAACTTATCAAAATGAAAGGGAAGAAATGAAATCCAAAATGAAATTTCAAACCTATACCCACTTAACCATATATAACTTATCAATTTACTGGATAGAAAAGAAAGAGTTACCACAAACGTTCTCCAACTATGTAACAATTATAACACTTTTCACACAAAATTATCTGCATTAAGTATTTTCCTTAACTTACCTGAGCCAGAGCTGGAAGCACAGGCTTGCCTGTAGATTCAAGAAACCCACAGCAGTCACCAATAGCAAAAACATCCTGCACAGCAGGGACACGAAGCCACTCGTCTACCCCTATCCTGAAGATGCACGAACTGTTGTAATAAGTCTTTCAAGTGCAGAAAATAAAGAGAAATTGGAAATGGAAAAGAAACACAGCCCTGTGGTAACATCTAGTGATCAACAATTTGACTACATAACAATCATGTAAAACTCTTGGAGGCAGTGTAAAATTACCATGTGATGTTCCAAAATCAAACCTTAGTCAATTCAAGTTGATAGAAACCTGGATGGATAAACTTGTAATTCTATCATATGGAAGAATCCAAATCTTTTTTCTTTCTCTTTTTTTTTTATTGGGGGTGGAGGGCGGGGAGCTAATATAAGTATCTAGGAGAAGGAATAAATTTTTATCCATTTGGAGGCCAATAACCTTATCAGAAGCTTAAGCTTTCAAGAAATCTGCATGTATAAAAGCAGAAGGTATCGAATCCATGCTGACCTTCCCCCAGGTGATTTGGGAACATCCAGGGATTTGACAAAAGGTGAAGGGCCAACGCCGGTAGACCACACCAGCAGACCATAAGGTACATCAGTCCCATCACTAAGAACTATCTTCTCAGGTTGAACATCCTTCACAATTCCACGAACTAGACGAACTCCTGACTGAGAAGCTACTAAATTAATAACAAAAATCACAAACAACACTATGAGGTCTGACATGCTAAATAGAAGTAAATTAAAAATACCAATTGGTAGCCAAGGTAAACAAAATAAACTACCTAAATCCCTAGTCACAACATCTAGGGCCATACTTTCATATGATTGAAAAACATAGAAATGACAATCGTTAAATTAACATCTCTGCACATATATATGTGCAAATGGACATACAAACTCTTACCAGGGTCTCACCTTAATCAACTGCTTGGTTGCGTATATCCGCAGGCGATCATCAAAGGAAGACAAAATCTCATTTGCCTGGAAATGAAGAAGCAGTAACTTGTTATGATCAATTAACACTTTGTGCAAAACGAGTATTATACAAATAAGTAATAATTGCAATAGGAAAATGTCAACGCACAACAAAAAACAAGAAGAAGAAGAAAAAAAAGAAAAGTGAAGGCGCGATACAGTATTTTTTTTATTAGCTTTACCTCAATCAAAGTAACGCGTATATAATCCTTGACATGAGCGTATCTCTGGCGGACATCCCTCGTGATAAAATCACTAAGTTCACCGCTGAACTCAACGCCTGTTGGACCACCACCAACAACTACACAATGTAGGAGCCTACGTTTCTCTTCATCACTAACTCCTGCCTCACCGGTACCGTATCAGCAAAAAGAGTCCAGAATAATGCTAGTTCATTCAAATGTGAGCAGAATGTGGGATATAAGGCAGCATAACGGATACCTGGCACATCAGAGATCATGAGATTAAGAAGCAATTTCCTCCGGATTTCCTGAGCATGATGAACCTCGCGTAGAAAAATGGCATGTTCTTTAACACCCCTGATGCCGAAAGTTGACGCTTCTGCTCCAGCTGCAATCACCAGCTTGTCATATGCAATGGTGAAGTTCCATGGCTCCAAAGTACCAGCTCCATCAGTTACTGTTTCGCAATTCACCTACCCCAGAAAAAGGAAAAAAAAAAAAAAGAGTAATGACCACTAAACAGCTAAGGAAACTATGCTAAAAAAAGAAAAATATTGCTTTCTTAACACGAAATTTATAAGTATTAGCGATGATCATCAGACCAAAAATGAGGGAATATATACCAGATGGTTTTGGAAATCAACGCCGGTGGAGTTAGCAAGGAAATAGTACGAACCGGGTTCCCGAGAAATGGCAGGTTGGATCCTTCCAATGGGTTCGGCAACAGACCGGAATTCCAGAGTGCCGACGCACGTGGAGGCCAGCAATGGAGTGAAGACCATGTGATTCCTGGGGGAGACGCAAACGACGTCGTAAATGCCGGTATCGATATCTTTAATGAGTCTGCATCCGGCCCATCCCGAGCCCAAAACCACCACCCTCGGCTTCTCATCCCCCTTCGTGGGCGCGAGCCCAGCATACCTCGCGGCAATAGTACCAGCTCCACTGCCTTTATCACTCACGTCCGCCTCCGCCGCCTTCTCTTCGGTGGCGGCGGTGCTGAACTGTGTCAACTGGTGGGTAAAAGCATAGGAAAGTGACGTAGCAGTAGTGATGGGTTTGAGGGATGACTGTGTTCTGAAGGTCGTAGAGGAGGAGAGGTGGATGAGATTTCTGAACCAAGGCATGGCGGTTTAAGGTGGAAACTGTTGTTTTTAATATTTTATTTGTTTCTCTATGTAGTAGTAGTGGTAGACTGGTACTTTTGATGCTGGATAATGGATTTAAGGGAGGATTGACATGAACGAATTGGTGATTGAGGATTTAAGAAGGGAATTGGAAGATTCTCTGATTTTTGGTATCCCCAGTTTTTTGGGGAGAAATAGAAGAGAGTTTCTGTGGTTTTGACGGAAAATGGATCGAGTACAGTCATACGAGAAATTATTATTATTATTATTATTGTCATTGGCTGCTGCGTGGGGAGGACGAGACAGGTGGCGGCTTGCTGGGTCAACAGATGGCATGATGGTGGTGGCTATTACCTGGTCGAGGATTCGGTGAAACAAAAAATTTCGCGCCACGCAAGAGCTGGAAATGTGGTACGGTGGTCTTTGTCCTTTTCTTTTTTGGTTTTAACAAAATGGTCTTTGTCAGTTGATAATATAAAAAAAAAAGAAGAAGAAGAAAACGGATATTACTTAGAAAAAATTGAAATAAACAAAGCCTTTGTGCCAGATCTCTTTGGCAAAGTAGTTTGTTTTTTCGTTTTTGTGCATAATTTCTTATATTGGTTTTCCATTTGTTGCTCGATGAAGTTCAGAAGTTAATTACTTGATCTATGTTGTTTTTCCTTCTAAACTAACAATTTAATCTATTTTTATGTTACGAGGGAGGAAGGTACCCAACACCATTTGTATGGAACTGGGCGTAAACTTGTTCCTTGAAAGATTGTTTGTTCGCGTTGGGACAAATTTGTTCATGTATTGACAGCCCACTACGCAGAAATTCTAGGCCCAAAATGATCTGTTTACGGGAAACATGTTTATCCTTCTTCCAACATTTAGGTCCCGTTTGGAATTAGAGTGCATTTATAGGGGGGAAAGAAAGGCCTTTTTACACATTAACGTATTTTTAAGGTGTTTGATAATTAATTTTTTATAATTTAATAAATTAAATTTTTGATAATTTAAAAGCACTCTTACTAAAAATAATTGTGTCAGAAGTATTTTTTTTTTTTTTTTACAAGTCATCATAATTTCAAACGAGCCCTAATCAAGATGAAATCACTTCTTATCCCGAAGGAAAAAGGGACAAAGAACACTTGATCATGCTATTCTTTGTTCCTACAATCTTATCCGCAAACTCTGATTGACTATTGCACATCCAAAGGAAAAGCAAAGCGAATTAGAAATGAAAATGTGTAGGCATCATTTTCATTGTACGTACAATTTGATGCGAGCAAGGGCGTAGACGTTATAGTTTTGATAAATTGACAACCTGCTCCTCCTCGATGAAAAATGACATTAAAAACAAAGCCTCTAACATGAATTTCATTGAATAAAATGGGGAATAGAGAAACAGCATACAAAACAACAACGCCTTTAACATGGATTTCATTTAAACAATAGTAAAGGAAAGAAAGAAACAGCATGCACAACATAGCCTTCAAAAAAAAAAAACTTTGCATTGTTGAACAGACAAGTGTCATGTAAGCTTGAAACTGTCGAGCGTTGCCCCGACGAAGCCCTCCTTAAGCATAGGACATCCATAACTGCAAATAAACAAACACATAGTATAATATAGGTGATCACATAGTTATCTGGCCTCCTCTGCTGGCATTTTTCCTAGGATCATGGCCCTTGTTAGCCGTAGCTGCAGCGTAGTCATCGAGCTTGGTTTTCAGAGATCGTCCTTCAATGCCGCCAACAGTCGTCTCGTCTTCTGCAAAATTAACATCGTCATCATCAACAAACAGTACTGAGATGGCTGGTTCTCATGACTTCAGAACCAATATCCAGTTAATAATTAAACCCCCATAAAAGAGAGAGTGAGAGATGCATGCATGCATGTTTAGCACAGAACAACTGACATTGAGTACGGTTTGTTCAATATAAAGATTCCCATCTTAATTATATGTTCACATCCATCGGCGATCGTCCGATCACTGCCACTGTCTGACATAGTTGGCTAATTGGTAGAGGTGGCAAAATGGGCGGGATTTGCTTGGGTTTGAGATGGAACCGAGTCATATGGGTTTGGGCCCAATCTTACCCATATGTGTTTTGGGACTAACTTGGGCGGGATCATTTTGGGATGGGTTTAGATTGATCCCGCCCAATACCCAAATCCATTTTCTACATATTTTTTTTCCTTTAATTCATTTTTTATTTTTATATAATTTTAATATTTTTGATTTATTAAATTTCTTTTAGTTTTATTAAATAAACATGCAAGTGCTTTATACTCAAGATTCCCACCAAAAATTGGATTAACAAATAAAGGAAAAGATAGATATACAGCCATATTCCAACATATATTAAGATGGCCAAGGTCCTTAGGATGTTGAATATTTATCCTTATCATTGTCCAAGGATGACAGGTCTAAACTAACTGAAATGCTGGAAATTCTTGTGGATAATGACTAGGAAGACTACTAGATTATATTCGCTGGTATGACTATAAAAATTGTTAAAGATAATTTTTGAATCTAAGATTCCGTTTGGATTGACTTTTTTTTCAAAAAATAAGTTTTTCAAATAAAATGTTACAGTAATATACAATAACTCAAGAAACATCCCATCCATATTAATATATCAAATATTTCAAAAAAATTTTATAGTAAAAATTTTTCATATACACTGCTACAATAAAATATTTCAAAAACACCTACCAAAAACAGCTAATCCAAACGGAGCCCTTGCCATTTGAGCCCAATGGGTACCCAAGTATTTCCCATCCTTTCCCATTCATTAATGGGTATAGTTGGGATGTGTCCCAACTTAAACCCAATACCAAATTATAATACCCATCCCGCCCAAAGTTCCTTTGGGCATGGGTAGCCCATTGGGACTTGGGACAAATTGCCAGCTCTACTAATTGGCTCGTAAACCGTCGTAACAGATACTACTATTACTATAAATTAAGCTGCGCGTAAAACAACAAAATCTCATCATAATAACATTAATACCGATAAACAAATATAAGAACCGAGGGGGAAGGGAAAAAAAAATATTTTTCTTTTTAGTGACCCCAGTATCAGGAATTACAAGCTTAAACACCCAGCGTGCAAAAAAAAAAAAAATGAATGAAAAAAAAAAAAACATTTTGGGTGAATTTTTATGGTGATTTGTTTTTCTGGCTAAGAATTCATTCCAGGATGCGTGCCTGCGATGAAAACCGGTGGAAAGCCCGCATAGCATTTCTATGAATATCGGCAGATGTTTAGATAAGAAAATATAAACGTAGAACGATGACATTTGAAAGTACCTGATAGAAACACGGAGTTTCTAGCGGAGGCAACAACGAGAAAGGCAAGTAGAAGACATAAGCAGAGTCGACTTCCTCTTCCCATTTCCATCCTTCTCAGTTTTTTCACTCCTCAAGAAGATGGCCTGGTGTTGTGCAGTGAGTATATACGTAGAAGTCTTAGCGCTGGCGTTGTGCAGTGAGTATATATATGTATAACAAAGGTCATGGCGCCCCCCCCAAAAAAAAAAAAGCCATTTTCATTTTGGGGTACGTTGGGGAAGATTGCAGTTGACATTCGAGCAAATGGTTTGAGACATGATGTGAGAGTTTTGTGGGAGTATCCGAGCCGCGCATCGCATCTTGGGTCAACGGATTGCTGTTGCTTACCTAACTAATTTAAGGTAAGCTGCCGTTTACCATATGTAATTCCTTTAGTTGGGTAGCAATCAGAAACTTTACGGACTCCAGGAGATTGAGAAGCACATGGAATTAAACTTGTGACTTCCACGCCAACCCGTCCGAGATAGCAATTCAGTAAAGAATTCTTCATATACTAGTTTTTATAATTTCGTTGTCTTCATCTTAGTACCTTATTAACACATTGAAGGCTCCTACAAGTGAATCATCACACATTCAGCTCATTTTAGTACCTTAATAAATAGATTGAAGCCCAAGTAAGTGGAACATAAAAAGCTAGAAAGGGGAAAATAAATATGCAATTAAACGAGTTTTGAAGGAAACTGATAATCAAGCCATTTGTTACAAGGACAAACGAGTTTTTTGTCTGTCAAACGAGTGTCCACTTGTTAATGTGTAATTCATTTGTTAACATTTTTTCAAAAAATAGAGTTATTCAAATGTGTGCATTCACGTGATAAGTTGGATATATATATATATATATATATATATTTTTTTTTTAAGGAAACCAGTTACTAATAGTTAATTGCTCCAGCATTTGGATAGTTTCCGTTGACATTCCTAAGCCTTCCATATATATATATATGGAAGCATGAGACATGGTTTCGACATTGATTTTTTGGGTTTTCTTAAATGGGACTCGTTAACATATCTAAAATTTACCCAATTTATCATATATATATATATATATATATACATATTAATAATTATTACTCTTCCTTATTTAATATATATTAAACCGGAACATTTTTCTTATTAATGTATTTTGATTTTTAATAATAAACAAACAAGCAGGCTTGTAAACGATCATACACATTTTTCTTAATATTTAAAAATTATATACCCATGGCTTTGGCTCTTCGGTTTCGGTTCCACTCCAAAATGGATGTAGAGAGAGAGAGAGGGAGGGGATGATTGAAAAAAGAAAACGAATATTTCAACAAGGAATTTCCATTTTATAACGTGTCCGTCCAAAAGCATCTCTTTAATCTCACAACCCAACCATTCAGCCAAAAAATGAAAAATTTTCTCATAATCCAAATCCAAACAAATTTAATGAAAGAACACTACTACTAGGAAAATTCGCAGCCCCACAGAAGCCAATTAATGCTAAGTAATACTCCTGGCAAAATCGAAACTGTTTCCTGTAATGGCTCACATTATTAATTTCGGCTGCCACTCACGGCCGCGGGTTCGCGTATTTATAAGATACATGCTGGTTGTTTCATATCCAAGATTCAGCTTAGCTAATCACAAGGGTTTTTGGTTTGACTCTCTAACCTAATCTCTTTTCTTATCCCCTCTTGTATGATTTTGAGTATCCTCTTGAATAAAAAAACGTTTGATTGTTCTAAACAAAAACTAGGATAAAGAGTTTGGCTAATGAGTACGTATCCATTAATTACTCATTAAGAGCACTCATTACAAGTAGCCTTAAGTGTTTTTTTTTTTTTTGTTTTGTTTTGCCAATAAGTGTAATTACTATGAGAAGGTATCTAAATGCACAAGGTGCAATAATTATGACTGTATATATTCACATGGTAAATAAGCAAACATACTTTAGTAAAATCCTAGCATGAATGATTTGTTTTTTAATTTATCAATGATATATAACGCCTAGCTATTCATAGTATAATCTTATAAGACAAATATTAATTCCTTTAATTTTATCCTTAAATCTCCAAGCTTGATGGGCGTTGGACCCCAAAAGCTAGGAAAAGTAAAATAAAATGTTTCAGCATGTGTCTGTCACACATATAGATATGATAGATAAATAATCAATAGAATCTAACTCCTCTCGATCGGCCACTTGTGATTAGAAAGGAAAATGCATCAGTTGATCTAAAGTTTCAATTCACAAATTGATATGAGCAAAGAAGCAAATGTTGTAGTAGTGGATAAATTGTAATCCTCCTCCTCCTCCTCCTCAATGAAAATGCCACTTAATAACAAAGTCTTGAACATGAATTTCATTAAGAAAAAAAAAACATGGAAAGAAAGAAACAGCATACACGACAAACCCTTCAACGAAAATGTAAACAGGAAACTGTTGCCTTGACGAAGCCCTCCTTAAGCATAGGAATATCCATAACCGCAAAAATAAACAAAACATCAAACGGAGCTCTTTATTGCACATAATGCATCAGTTGATCTAAAGTTACAGTTTTAGACCCCCAGGATTGGATCATACTCTTTAGCCACTCACGTCGTATGCAGAAAAAGGTACTGATAGCAAATTTCCGGGCTTGGTTTTATCAACGTTTCCTGGGCCGTCATTTGCGGTGACCGCGCCTAGGATCATGGCCGGTGTTAGCCGAGGGTGCGCTGTAATCATCAAGCTTGATTTTCAGAGACCTTCCTTCCATCCCGGCAACAATCGTCTCCTCTTCTGAAAAACATATATCATCATCAATAAACACTGATATGGCTGGCTCAGACTTCAGAAGCAATATCCAATTAATTATTAAACCAAAAAGAAAAAAATAAGATATGCATTTTCAGCACAGAACGAGATGAGTTGACTGTTTTTTTTTTTTTTTAATATGAAGATTCTCATAATATGTTTTTAGAGCCATTGAGGGCCGTACCACCGTCTGCCATGGTTGGCTCGTAAACCGTAACGAAGGCTCTATAACAAATTAAGCACGTCGCACAACAATATCTCATGATCTCATCGTAATAATGAACATACTGATAAACATATACAAGAACCGAGGGGGCCCAAATAAAAAAAAAAAAATGACCCCAGCATCTGCAATTACAAGCTCAGAGCACCAAGTCCCCAGAGTGCAAAGTAGAAAAAATCTTAGGTGAAATTTTAAGTTGATTTCCTTTTTTTTTTTTGGGTTAAGAATATTCCAGGATGCATGCCTGGGACAGAAACGGAGAGAGAGCCCATTTACATTTTCTGTGAATATGTACGGGTGTTTCGTTGGAAATAGGTAAATGCGTGAATGGATAATGATACTCGAAAATACCTGAAATGAAAATGGTGTTTCTAGCGGAGCAAATAACGAGAAAGGCAAGCAGAATACAGAAGCAGAATCGACTTCCTCCTCCGAAGCCCATTCCTCTTTTCAGTTTTTACTCCTAAAGAAGACGGTGTTGTGCAGTGAATGCCCTTCCTTCTATATAGAAAGAGTTCTTTCTACGACTGTGGGTGCCTGGAGTCATATATATATATAGCGTCATTTCTGTTCCCCTTTTTTTGTTTAAAAAAAAAAAGTGGGGTTTGGTGGAAAATTGGAGTTGACATTTGCAAGTTGCAACCCGTTTGCGATGTGGAGTATTCTTGGAGTATCTGAACCGCTCATTTTGGTCAACGGATTGCTTTTTTTTTTTTTGGGCCAATGGATTGCTGTTGCTTGCTTATCTAATCAAGGTAAACGTAGCTGGGTAGCGATCACAAACTTTACGGACTCCATGAGATTGAGAAGCCAGGAAATTACTGTGGAGAGTGTGTTTGAATAGTAGAATTATTTTAAATAATATTTTATTTATATTATAGATATAATTTGAATTAATTTTTTTTATTTCACATACATCAAATCCTAAAAAATGCTATAATAATTGTTCTAAATAATATTTGAAATAATCTCATATTGCATCCTTCATGTAGTTTTTTGGACAATATTTTCCCCCTGATTTTAGTTTTATTTTTGCAAAACTTTAATGGCCCCAAATCCAATGAGTAGAACACGACAAAGTATTGGGACCGACCCAAATGAGTGGTTAACAGGGAAGAACCATTTTCCCGATCAAATGAATTATGGAGGAAACTAATAATCAAGTTAATTGTCACAAACAAACTATTGGGATCAAACCAGTAGTTAGGGAAAAAGTCTTTCAGAATCTTCCCCTTTATCAATTTAAGGATTCGAATTGTGTTCCTGACAATTACGGGTGAAAGAGAGTGTGGGTAGGGATGAGAAGGTTAAAAGTTAATTTCACAACAACAAAAAAAAGAAGAAGATGATCATTATTTTTTCCTTCAAGAAAAATAGATTTGTACATAGAACAGCTTATGACTGCCACTAAATCCAAAGATTAGCATAGCAAATTATTGTCAAAGTATTCAAATAGTTTCCGCAGACATTCCTTGCACCTTCCATACATTCTTGTTGGCAGTTGGCAGCACCATGTACAGGACTTATTCCTTCCACTGGGATTCTCAGCTATTTCCGTACCTTCCGATTATTCCCATGCCAAAGTCGTTTGCAGGTACCATCAGAACCATTCCACTAGGCATTTTATTTTTCATTTTATGATGTGAAATTCAATTCAAGAGATTCAAACATTGAGGACGAAATTTGTGGTGGACGAGCCATATACATGTCTCATATCACAACAACATCTATGGACTATGGATGCAGCATGAAAGTAGAGAGAACTAGCAATCCGACGAAGTTCAGCGTTCACGTTCATCACAAAGTCTCTCCGGCCAAAAAGCCATCCTGCTGCACGTTCACACCCTGAACTATGTGGCTTTCTAGAGACAAAAACCGGTGGCCAAATTAACTTCACACTCACTGCCACTGGTGCTTCTTAAGCTATAACCCCTTCTGCAAAACCACGTACATATACACGTAAGCTAGGGTGAATCTCTACTAGCCACCATTTACCCCTTTTTTTTGTAATAAAAAATTTATCTGAATTCGACTCCAACCATAACCACGCTTTAGAATATGTTTTTGAGATCATAAATTACTTGCAAAAGAGCTATCCCTTATTGAGTCCCCTTCCACGTCCCGGTCAATAAAGAAAATAAATGAACAAGGGTTTTAACCCCGCACCGAACGGCATAAAGTTCATCGTAATAGTTGTGAGTCTTGTGACTTGCAAGCTGCGCCTTTTAAAAAAACAAAAAAAAGAAGGATTTATTCAGCCGTTTTCCTTCTTTTTTTAATTTACCTTCCAAAGAATTTTTCTGCTGTTACTTGGACATCCAACCATGGAGAAGACCTTATGACTTCTATAAGCCATAACTGCCCCGTTTATCTTCATATTTATCAACTACTTGCCAGTCGATGGCATATGCATCGTCCTCACGAACTGACACTTAAAAATTTACCGGATAAAATAATCAAAAAACACACCAAGAGAATCGACACAATGTCATTCATTAGAGGTATTAAAATGGATGACTCCAACGACTTTGGACATGTCATGATTGGATAATGGATTTAAGTTCATCAATTCATTTATACCAATTTAAATAAATGAGTACTCATATATATATTTATTTAATAAATACATATTGATATATCCAATTACCCATTTATGAACTACTTAAAATTCTACTTATTTTTTTCTTTTTTTTAGCATTTTCTTTGACAAAAAAAATATTTTGTTACTATCAGATTGATAAAAAATTCAAATTTATTTACTTAACACTCACTAAAAGTTGAATTTAAATATATATAATTATTTTTAAATAGATATACATGAGTGAATCGAATCAACTCACTACTTTAATTGACTACCCATTTAGATCCATTCAAAATTAACGAGCAAGTTTAAATGAATTATTGGTGAACGAATCAACATAATTAGTTGTGATGGACACCTCTAAATGTCACCAAGCAAGAAAACCTTGTGGAGAAGACTTTGGCAATACGTATTAGGCCTGGTAAACTCGACTAGCATCAAAACATCCGGAAAAGTAGAGTGATACTCGACGAGTTTTAAGGAGAAGACTATGGTAATACAAACTAGGCTTAGTAAACTCGACTAGCATCAACACATCCGGAAAAGTAGTAGTACTTAACCGGTGTGCCACACGCCTTCATTATGGTAACAACTTTGCATTGTTGTCTTTTGTTTGTCACATGGCATCTAAGCATGCTGTGTATTCCTCCTTTCAATGGAAAAAATTCGTGAAGAAAACATGACTCCCCACCGTCCAGATACTCGACTGGATCTTACCTGATCAGAGCAAGTTATAAAAAGAGGAAAAAGAACTCAGAAAAGTGCTTTTAGCCAGCGTCATGACAATCAAGCAAATTCTTCAAGCAAATATTACATTACCAGAAAAAAAGGTCATCTGGCATCTTTAGCATAATCTGACCTGCTGCGAGGGGCACAGGCATGAATGTGGATCTTTTAACAAGAAGATTATGGACATAAACAAGAAAATGGAATATATTAATTTTCTGTTTACACCTTAAAATAACAAGCAAAGATCAACGCAAAATGGTGCATGCCATGGAAAAATCCCGCAAAAAAGCGGTACCACAGGAATCACTGAATCAAGCACCCACAGCAGGGAATATCCAACCAAAACATAAATAACAGAAACTAATATGCAAACAATTTTGACAGCTAAAACAGGTTCTTGAAATACACCTATCCATAACAATATCAAGTGCAATAAGTTGTTGATACACCATAAGAAACATCAAACCTAAAAAACCGTTAGCTGTTTATAAAGTGAACAAACTTCAGAGAATTACCAGCCAGAAAGGAAGTTCAGCTTTAGCAAGGCCTAGACAGAGATTGCACACTATAGAGAGAGAAATTTCAGATCATTTCCTTCCCACAAAAGTAGATATAAAGATATGATTTTGCACTTCTATCTTACAGTAGTACCACAATTCCAATACACCCCCAATTAGTGAAGCAATGATGAACCTATACCTTCTATCTTTTCTTGAAGCCATATTTCTTACGCTCATAAAACAAATCTGTCTTAGCACTTCCAAGATTAACGATTTTAGGACACCCATCCCGATCTTTCTCTTGTTGAGTACACTCTTTACAGTAGTAGGCATCAGAGATTCCCACTCCTCCACAGATGACACAGCGACCCTGAAATGATCCGTAGTTGCACTCATCACAAACTCGGACCAGCGTGCAAGGGCGCACATAAGAATCACAGACTACACACTTTCCGTCACATTTTTCACAAAGCCGTCCAATGGCTATCCCCGGCTGCTTCCTGCACATAATCAAATCAGGATGATGCTTGGCCATGTTTTCAACAGATAAATCCCAGATCCCAAATCCAATTAGTAACCTGCAAAATGGACAGACTCGAGGGTAAGTTACTAAAATTGGTAAACAACATTTAAGACCGAAAAGTTGAAAGACTTCACCAGAGTTTCATATTAAACGATTTCGCAGGATCAATTTAGTGCAATAGAGAATCTCTATTTCATTGAGATCATTTATCATTTTATAAAGTGTCACAAGCCCCTCCAACTAGCAAGCATCAAATGAAAGCTGAAAAAGATAGTCAGCATCATATGCAGATACTAGTCATAAACATGATCAGCCAATATTCTACCTTGCCCTTGCCACATGATCCCAAACACTTGGTCAATTTTGATCCACATACGATGTGTAGGTAAAAAGACGATACAAGAGCTGCTGAAAACCAATGCTCATAATAACAAGTGCACAAACCTTCAGAGTAGCTATGTTATGCACAGAATCACATATTAAGACAAACTTTCAGCACTGGATATGTTATGCACAGAGTAAAACAGATCAACAATAAAAAGAGCACGCTATTCCTGAAAACTTTAATCTGTAAACTATAACGACTGTCCTTAACCACTTTACACCTGTATTTTCGCCAAGGGAACTACAAGAGATGGATCATACAGACCTTAACTTTTATATTGTATATGCCCAAATTCATCAAAAACCTTTTAGCAATTAAATCAAAACTTTCCACATAGCATAGGCAAGTTTGCCACAAAATGCACTACAGGACTGTTCAATGCCGTCCATATTCTGGTAAAAGATTATAAGGAAATAAATGCATCTTTTGCCTATTGTTTTTTTAACCCAGAAACGAACACACGCTCCAACCTAGAAATTGTCTTACAACATACAAGCCTTGATACTAATATTTTGACAAAGAACCATAACTATTAGGGCTTAAAAGTGGCCTGGAAACTAGGCCATTCCATCAGAAATAGTGGACATAATTAATTCACCCAATCATTTTGGTTGGTAATGCTTTCAGCAAGTGACTGTGATAACCAGTTTGAAACCAAATATCATTACCAAAGGTAAAACACACCAGGTACCATTAACTTGTTCCCCTTTACATCATAATCGAATTTTAAGGCATTAGACCACAAAATCAGAAACCTGGATTTCACGATAGACATTAGCTAAAACAATAAGACTAACATATTTTCATAAATTATTAAACACAGAATTCTACAGACAAGAAATGGACAACGATAAGATTTTGAAGAGTACTAACCACGTCCCAGCAAGAATGCTATGGAGAGTTTCCGACGGAAAAGGCACGCCTCCGACAGCAAGTCCCGAATTATCTATCAGCTGGAAGATTGAGGAAGGCAGCTGCTAATCTGTCAAGGTGCGTGAACACAGAGGCCCGACTATAGAATACGCAATGGAATGGATGGTAACTTGAACCGTATCCGAAAAACAAAAGTCTAGGTTAGGCTCCGCCTCCTGATTCCTAAACTCGTGAATCAGGTCGGATATTTTGACCCGTAAGCTCAACCGACAGAAGGGCCCAGAACAGATTAGAAACTGGGCCTTATTTCTTTATTTCTATGAAAGAGATTCATATTTAAATATTTACTAGACTTTTGAGTTTAGACTTCGGTGACATTTGCATTCTATGTATACATAAAAAAAAAAAAAAAGTTTATCCATGAACCGCTGGGCTGGAAACAATAATATATTTCGCTAGTGGTAGCATTTTAGAGGGGCTCCAAATTCCTTACCATTTCTCGACTCTGACCCCAAAAGAAAAAAAGAAAATATAAATTACCTTATACTTTAACATTTTACATTCGATCTCCCTACTGTTCAATAATATTCACTTAAGTATCTTTTTTTTTTGTCAATACAATAGATTCTATTCTATACGTACTCATACTCTATATTGGGGAAGGGGGATTTAAAGAGGTTAAAGAGAATTTGGTGAACCATCACAGGTCCAAACGGGTATGCGGTGAACTAACAAAGAACCTAAAGAGGTCAAGAAGAATCCAATGAACCACCATCGATTCTAAAGCGATAAAAAAAATCCGGTGAACCATCACTAGTTCAAACAGGTGTGCGATGAACTATCATCAGAAAGTCTGGATAATAAAATGCAGGTTAAGAGATTTGACTTACACCTAAATAGAATTTTAAAACTCTGTTAATAGCCAATAACTTTAGGAGTAGTTAGTTAATTACTTTTGTTTGATTGATGTATATTTGCTCCTAGTGTAAGTTGTATAAGTTTAGCACTTCAAAATTGCAATCCAATTAATTTTGAATTGCTAGTCTGCCCATTTTAAAGTAGTAGTTGTACGAAAAAGTAGTCGAGATTTGCAAAAATGGGTTCCATGCAAGGAAGTTGCTAACTTGGCTTATAGGCACAGGGAACCAACATCCGGACACGGATTCCCCTCCATTATATGGACGTTAGAAAAAGGGTACTTTTTTTTTTTTTTTTGGAGAAGAGGGGGGGGGGGGGGGGGGTTTGTTTAGTGTTGGCAGATTTAGCCAAATCCCCAATTGCCCAACTGGTCAATTTATCTTTAGACCGCGCCAATAATTTCACAGCTCAATTACTCACATAATAAATCAGATCCATCATCCAAAAACGGTGGATCTAGACATGGTATTTTTGTTTGCACTCCAACCAAATCTTGACCGTCAAACAATCCAATTCAACTCTAACTAGAAATCTTCTCAAACCAACCGAGTCGCAAGAACAGGCAACAAAATAGGCAGCAGCCGTTTCTGAATCTGATGACTTCAGCACTCTTCTCTTCCTCAATTGCCATTGGAGTCGGTCAATTCGGATCTACTGTGTGTGTATCTCCCCACTACTGTCCCCACAAACCTTTCCTATTGGTTTCTTGAATCTTGATTGTTGGGAGCTTTATCCTCAGAAATTTTTTTCCCCAAAAAATAAAAGCAACCCTGATATATATATTGATATAAAAAATCAAAGGTAAATTGGACTTTACAATATACCACTCCATCGCCAACTGTCCTCTTTGCACAGGAGCTGCTCCTCTGCGTTGGCAAGTGGCAATCCGCGACGGGAAGCTCTCCTCCTCCAGGTCCACCTTCCATTTCCACTTCCACACATCTCTTCTGTGGCGAAGATCTTTATCCTCGTAACGACTCCCCGCGAATCCTGAAACTTGTGATTCATGTCTCTATCTTTCCCCGGTTTACGAGTTTCAACGCGGTACGTACTAGCGTACTAGTGATGTGCTCGGTCACACTTACAATGGGACCACGACAGTTGTGTCAAAGATCCACGAATAATTAGGGGCGGTCCCTTCCGCTTCAACTTTGTGGTTTGGAAGTGGAGTTAGAGAAAGAAGGAAAAAAAAAAAAAAAAAGGACCCAAATTTCCTCGTCTAAAATAAATCAAAGCATATCGTACTACTTTATTTTCCTTGATGAATTCTAAAAACATGCGTTGGACCCATACACTAAAACATGCTTTTAATTCTGAAATGCGCTTTGTTTTCTTGATTTGACCCACTCCCAAATCCTAACGATCTTGCTTAATAATTTTACCTTGCTTATTACTATCAAAATAAAGTAGGGCAAGTGATTAAAAGTGAGTTGAGGTTGTATTTAACTTTCATTTTCTATACTCATTGGTTTGATGACATAATCCAACCCGACTCACTAATCGTACGTGAACTATTTATTGCAGAATTTCAGTTTCCAAAAGTAACTTGGTTCATGCATCAAACTTTTTTTAGATAGGGATTCATGCACCAAACTTGAGTTTGAGTTTTATCTTTGCTCAAAGCTGTCAATAATAGCTTACCACATATGGGAAGGTAGAAATTAAACACATTTTAACAAGTCTTGTATTCTAATATGGGACAGTAACTAGAAATTAAGTGATTTTTTCTTTTGTAATTTTTCATAAATGAAAGATTTTAAATTCGAAACTTTCTACCGACAGCCTCTTCTCTTTTACTGTCTAATCTAATCCTCTGATCTAGACGCAAAAGCTATCGCTGCGACTCTCTGTCTAAAATAACGTGTCAATAAAACTCTTTTTTTTATTTTTTGCCCGGAATAAAATACTAATACTACTACGTCATTAAAACTCACTGATGAGTACAAATAAAAATTTCGTGCCTAAGGATTAAGGAATCTATCATAGTTTTGCTCGAAAACGTCATGTCTCAGACCGAGTACGACTCCTACCCTCCGTTGTTCCGCCCAAGGAGAAGCCCAACCCTCCCCAGCCCCGATTCTGATGACTTCTTCAACCAACAAGTTCCAGATTTCGACCCCGTTCCTGTGATAGATTCCGAGTGCATAAACCAGAAGAAGCTGGATGAAGCTTGTAGAGAGTGGGGTATGTTTCGGTTGATCAACCACGGGATTCCTCTGACCCTTTTGAACAAACTTCATGACCACGCCAAAAAGCTCTTTTCTCTCGCCTATGAATCCAAGCAAGCCTCTTTCACCCCTCCCATATCCTACTTTTGGGGCACCCCTGGCCTCACCCCATCTGGTGTTGTCATACAAAGAGATGTTCGTGCCCAGAACTTCAACTGGCTCGAAGGTTTTCATGTTCTTTTAACTCCATTATCCCAGCTTCAATATGAAGATCCTATGCTCGACTCTTTCAGGTTAGCTGCTTTTTTCCCACCATCATTCCAATTAACAACTTCTTTTCTGCTCTGGTTTGTCACGTTCAAGATTTTTATTGTCTTTTACTACTCAGTACACATTTCCACCTGTAGTATTTGCTTTTTTTTTTTTGGAACTTGGCCAGAAATGCTCTCCTGAACCGCTTTTAGAAGGGGATTGACGAGAATTAAGAAGCTTGATTGCGTGAAGAGGACAGGACAGTGACAATTGAATTTGAAACCACCCTCGTTTTAAAGATTATAATAATAAACGAAGACTAATGAATCAACAGACAATACTAGATTCTAAAAATTTGCAGCCGTAATATGTGGACTCCATCGCCTGTTGCTTACTTCTGTATGTTGGCCATAGGCAAATAAATTCGTAGTGAAAAAATAAAATATTTTAGTTTGGTCACTTATTAGATGCAGGTTGACAATTGAGATTTGACAGTTAGTTAAATCACTGAAGATATTTCGCTCACTAAAGTTGGTTTTTTTTTTTCACACGGAGAGGCTTAGTTAGATGAGCGTTAACGTGGGGTGGCCAAGAAAAGTCAGTACAGTACTAGAGATTCAGCAATTTGAGAATGGACGTCCGTCTTGGTGGCACTATTGACAATCAAATCCCACTGCCAATCCGACGCTCCCAGTTTAAAATGTGTAAATTTTTTGTTTAGGTGAAGGAAGTGGAAGATGTAGCAAAATTGTATGGTAGTTAGTTTGTCCACTCCACTAAGTTAGGTTGGCAAGATGATTACGAAAACAAGAGAGCTGCAGTTTTGTAGCGAATCTCTTCACATTTATGATTTAACTTTAAGTGGGGGACTGACTGAAAAGCAGAGGGAACACGAGCATCCAATCATGTTTTAGTGCTATCAATAAACTGCATTAACAGAAGCTCGTATCTGCCCCATCACTCCATCACTCCATCCTTTTTTTTTTCTTTTTTTTTTTTTTGAGTTGAGGGGTACGTAGATGCCAGTAGAAGAATACAGTTAATAAGTATCTTCCGGACCCATTCCTGTTCTCAGGAAGAACCAGCCAGCCAGGATTTTATGATTGGAACAATTTGCTTGCGGGGGGGGAGGGGGGGGGTGGAATTTAAAAGGAACGAGTAGCGCTTTTCTTTTTTTCTTTTTTTTTGATAGTGAAAATCTTAAAAAAGAACCAGGCAGGCTGTGGCAATTTTTGTAGGTGCTTGCTGGAAGAATACGGGAGGCAGCAGACTAGGCTGGCTACGACAATTTTCGAGGCTCTGGCAAAGAATCTCCAACTGGATTCTGAACGTACAAGAGCTTATCTGTCGACAGCAACGGGACACCTACGAGTTCATCGCTACCCATGCTGCTTCGAGGCAGAGCAGTTGCGAGCATGGGGCATAGATGTCCACACTGACAGTTCTGTACTTTCCATTCTGCACGAAGATGAAGTCGGTGGACTTCAAGTCTGCTCCAACAATCAATGGTTTGACGTCAAGCCTCAATTCGATTCCCTGATTGTGAACCTCGGCGACATGATGCAGGTGATCCATAAATAATGCATGGGATGATCCTATCCTGGCGCATATTGATTACTGAATCGAATGAATTTACTAGTGATTTTAAGTTTGGTCATCATTTTCAATTCTTTCACTCATCAAACTCCCACCGGTGATGGCGTTTTTTTCATATATAAGGCCATGAGCGATGACAATTATATTGGTGCCAAGCACAGGGTGAAGGTGAACAAGCACAAGGAAAGAATCTCGGTGGGGTATTTTGTGCTCCCATACGAAGATACCGTTATAGAAAGCTCCAAGTACAAGCCCTTCACTTATGCTGATTTTCGAGCTGAAGTGCAACGAGATTTGAAGACCGTCGGATACAAGATCGGCCTCCAGAAGTTCAAGCTCAGCGAGACGTTTTAGTCGTAGAGCACATTTTGGAAGTGCCAGTCAAAATCAATCTTCTCTGTTCTCTTTTTTTTTTGGTTGGAGACAGGTTGTTGGATTGGCATTTTTCGCGATTCTAGCTACTTCTGTTTTGGTTTCATTCTCTGTCGTGCTTTTTAGCTCTCGATGCGGTCTGGAGAAGCTGCGGTTTGGAGAGAATGTTCTATTTTCTTCTTTTCCAATTTGGTCATCATGGTTAGGTGTCGTATCTGGCTTCCAAGAGCGGAGGAGATAATTTCTTATCCACTCTCTTTTAAATAATAAATTACTAGTACTGTTATTATTATTTCTCTCCTCTTTAACAAAAAAAATAATAATTGCTTTCTCCTCTTTATTTCCTTCAAATTAATAAGCATCTCTAATCTTTCTCATTGCAAGATCCATAAAAGTCGCGATATGTTAGCACTCTGCCGGCAGACTGAACTTGACAATTTGGCATAATACTTGGAATGTAAAAGAAAAGGACAATCATTGGATCGGAGAAACCAATGTTTAATCATTAACACAATATATATAATAGCTTCAAAAAATTTAAAAAAAAAAAGAAAATCATTGACACCATATACGTTTGTAAACTCATCAGGCAACTGAATTATGGGATGCCTTGGCGAAACAGCTGCCGTAGCAAGGGCTAGATGGGGGCCGGACGGGGGGAAGGGAAGGAAGCGGAGACGGGCGGAGTATAACGCTACAAACGGGTGGCTACTTGGCCTTCTTTACGTTGGTTGCTGGTCCAACAATTCCTTATGCGGTTATGCCCCATCTTTTTCCTTAAGGACATATTCACCGCATTTGCATTGATGTCGACTTATGATATGGTTGCTAGCTATACCAGTTTTTTTTTTTTTTTTTTTCTTTCTGGGCTGATAGATATATTGTAATGCTTGCTACTCTTTTTTTTATTTTCTAGTTGCCAAAAATTTTCGAAAAAATTATTGGTGCAATGCAAACTCAAAAGACTCGTAGATTTTTTTTTTTTTTTTTTTTTAAAAGTTAGATTAGGGACAAGAGATTGCATGTCACAATTATTGCTGTGGGTGCTTTATTAGAATATTTTCATGATAGTGATAGAGATATGGCATCTCGGGATTCTTCGTTACCATCTTTATATGATAATGATACGGTATTTCGAGATTCCAGAACTCAAAAGGAGAATTATTTGCTCCCTCCAGTCCAGTCTGATGGCAATAACCAGATTTGCTTTACTATTTTCACGCATATGTATTATTGCTCTAGACTAGAAGAAAGGTTGCTAAGGCTAGTTTCAGAAATAAATCCGCATACTGTGCTTTTTTTTATCAAAGAAAGTGACGACAGGGTAGACTTCTGATAAGGCTTGAAATTATACGCATAGTCATATATAGACTTCCTGTGGTAGTGGTACATCACTCAAAGTCGTTATCTACCATTGACACGCCTTTACAAATTTCCCATTTCCATACTATATTCGCTTCTAATTTTTCAAAAACAGGAGAATCAGTCTTCTATTGGTGGAAATGCTGAGCAACGCCATTTGCATGGTCATGCTTGAAGGCGTTCCTTTTCTTTTTTTGGGGTTGGATTCTCTGGTTTTTGATCTTGTCCTTTATGCATTCTTACTGCCATACGTTATCAATTATTACTTTAATAATATTAATAACAGCAGAAATGTTGATACCGCAAATGTGATTAAGGACCCGTATCTCAGCTTTCCTTTCTAATGTAAAACTCCTTAAGAATACTTCTAGTACTACATAACTTTCCTTTTTTTTTTTTTTTTAGTGAATGGAAAAAATATTCACCAAACTACCTAATATAGCATTGTTTGGTCATTGAACCTTTTTTTTTTTTTACAACTAAAAAGGTCACTCAACTTCTTAAAACATGTCTTTAGCTTATATCTTCCAATTCAACCGGTAAACCAACCATAAAGAATCGTATTTGACCTGCTGTAGTAGGTTTTCAAGAGCAAAACTGTCTTGCATTGCCAGTTATTTTCAATTAATTTAGTGGAGACTGACCTGAAAGGACTTTTTTTGCTACAAAAAAAAAAAATAAAATTAGTGACCACATTGTGCTAGATAATTTAGGAGCCATTTTCACGATTTATTCTTTGTTTTTTGACAAATTACTACTGCATAACTCCTCTTCTCCTAATATGTAACTTTCTACACCTTTCAATATCTAATAGATCTAACAAATCATGAATTATCTACCACGTTTAAGCATGAACATTTGATGCTGGTTGTCACTTGGATGGTGAAATTGCCCCAAATAATATTTCGCTTGCATTATATATAAACACATTTCTCAACCTATACTTTTATATTTTCAACCACCTTTTTTATCTCACATACATCACATCATAAAAAGTGCTACAGTAATTATTTCAAATAATATTCTATCCAAACAACCCCTTTTAATTTATCTCATGTTGCGTTCCATGATTTGCCTTCCCTTTTATATGTCTATCTTTCCTACTCATGTTCATCCCCTACCTCCCCTTCTCAATATTAGAAATATTTACAGTAGAAAATGACATTTTAGAGTGGATCGAATGTATTGTATAATTAACGTTCCTCTACCATTCTTGAGGCAAAAAAGAAAAGAAACAAATGGAAATTATGAGGAGTATCTAACATTTTCATTATAGTCATATTACTTTTATTTTTCTCATTTCCCAGAAGGTTGTATACAGCTCTGATTGAATATATATATATTTTTAGGGTTTTTAGTTTTTAAAAATATTTTACTATAACATATTCATTTGGTAATTTTAAATGCGTATTAGAGATATAAATTTGTTGAAAACCTACATGCCCTAGCAAACAGAACCTTGTAATATAAATTTTAAAAACTCATTATCCAGAAGTTTTCCAAGTAAATGGCAATCCAAACCAAGCTTATTATATAAATTATAGTAGCATTTTTCTCATGAGCTCTTAGTGAACACTTGTTTATACACTTAATTATATTTATTTGTATATTTAATGTCGCATAACGAACATTTAAACACTTGCAACTTAAGAATAAATTGCTAAACTTAAAAAAAGAGAGAGAGAGAGAGAGAGAGAAGCGCCCACGAATCAAAGTATTTAATTACTATAGAACTTTGTGCAAAGTGGAATCGGACGGTCCAGCATTCTCCTGCGCTGCGTCACACCCTACGTTGATCACCATAAACCATTCTTTTTTATTTATAATATAATAATAAAAATAGTCATAATAGTTGTACACTTGGTTTTTTACTTTTTTCTGTATTTAAATCCACCAATCCTCCTCACCTCAAGCTGGGACCCCACACAATCACACTTTTTCTAAAAGATTTCCTTTATGTTATAATGCCCCCAAATTGGATACAAATCAAACAAGACAGAGAAAAAAAAAAAAAAAAAAAAAAGAAAACACTACTTTGATTAGATAGGGGGAAAAGAGAGAAGAAGAAACAGTCATCTGCTAGACTGGTACTACTTACTTGGTAACCAAGTATGAAGAAGAATAATTATCAATTATCGATAAAATCAAATAAGAAAATAAATAAAAATAGCTGCCAAAATCCGAGCTTTTTGCGCGCACACACTTGTATTGTAACTACATAAATACAAGAATCGGACGCATTATAAACTAGTACCACTGCCAAGTATTTCTTTGTATTTATGTAGAAGTGTAGAAGAACCGAGCCCAAAACCCAAGCCCCCCCACAATTCCAACTTGCCCCCACACTAAAACCTGCGCTCTCCTCCAAGCTAATCATGGCGGCCCTCAACGATGAAGCCGCTGCTAAGAAAAAGAGGAAAAGGATTAACGGGAAAAAGAAGCTTCTCATCCATGATAAAGTTGAGGTAATGCTGCTCATGTTGTTTTTCTTTTTCTTTTTTTTTCGTTGGTTATCTGATTGTCTGCATCATTGTTCATGTGTTTGGGTAATTTTATTTAATTTTTTTAATGAAAATTTTGATTCTCGAATGTGGGCTTTTGTCTTTTTACAATTGGGTTTTGGATGTTTTTGTTGTTTTTCAATTCTTGATGACGTTTACAAGAATTGTCTCTCCGGGGCTTGATTTTACTGGCATTGTGTGGTTTTGGGGTATTCCTGTTTAGTAAGCATTTGGGAAGGCTATGTTAAGGCACAGGGACCGGTTGCATGTTGGCTTTTGTTAGTTTGCGAAGTGATCATGTGGATATTCTGTTAACTGGAGAGCTCTATGTGAGGTAATCAATAATTTTCTTTTCTTGATTGAGCTTAATTGCACATGCAATGCCTCATCCTTGACTCAAAATTAAAAAGGGTTAAGAGTTAAGCACCTTTCATCTATTTTTCCCTTTTCTTTTTTTAATATTAGTTAGAGTAATGCGCGCTTGTTTTTGTTTTTACCTTTTTTTGTCCCCCTTAGTGTGGGAAGTGATTGATTTTCGGTTGCATGAGTGTCAAAAGTGCCTGCTTTGTTGTATGGGAGCGTCTTCTGCAATTTCACTGTCGTCGGGAGTCAGTGGTTGTGTTTGACCTTGTAATTGTGGTGCAGGTAAGGAGTACGGAAGAGGGGTTTCTGGGCTCTTGGCATGCTGGAACTGTGGTTGGATGTGGAGAATTGCGTCGTCGCATCAAGTATGATGAAATCTTAGATGATGATGGTTCTGAACGTTTGGTTGAATGGGTAAAGGTGAGTCCTGTGCTGGATGGGCTTGTTCGTGGGAATCAAGCGACAAGCAATTGTTGCCGTGGCAATATAAGGCCATTGCCCCCTTCGGTTGATTTCCAAAAGTGGTCTCTTCATTATGGACAGTGTGTCGACGTGTTTGTACAGGATGCCTGGTGGGAAGGTGTGATTTTTGACCATGAGGATGGCTCCGATCAGCGGAAAGTCTTCTTTCCGGATATGGGTGACGAAGTTAAGGCTCAAATAGAGACGTTCCGCATCACTCGGGAGTGGGATGACATTACTGATGAATGGAGACCTCGAGGCAATTGGTTGCTTCTCGAATTGATTGAGGAAGTTGAGCTAGAGTGGCCTCTTCTTGTTTCAGTGAAGCAAATTTGGTATGAAATACGAGTCAAAATGGAATTTGGCAAACTTAAGGAATGGACGTCTTCTTCAAGGGATATTTGGAGACAACTGCTGTTGCAAGTTCTATCCACGAGTTATAAGCTAACTGTGAAGCAAATTTTTCATGAACTAAACTCTTCAGAAAACTCGACAGAGGAAGGCCAGCCATTATTTGAATTCTCTGCAAATGCACTTGATGCAATTCTTGACCCCGAAAGCATTTTTTCTGACTCTATGGCTATTGTTCCCTATGGAACTAATTG